CCCTTACTTCTTTGAGTCTCGGAGCGGATCATCGAGAAATGAGAATGCAGAATAGCCCGTTTATTCGGAATACTTTGGGATCAAAAGGTGGTGCAGCATTAGCAAGTGTTCTTTGCAAAAATTCCTCGTTGACTTATTTGAGTCTTTGTGGAAATAGTCTCGGAATAGAGGGTGCAAAGGCAATTGCTGATGCTCTTTGTGTGAATTCTACGTTGACTACTTTGGATCTTAGTAAAAATGATCTTCAAACAGAAGGTGCACAAGCATTAGCTAATGCACTTTGTAAAAATACCGCATTAACCTCTTTGGATCTTCGTTATAATATTATTAATTCAGAAGGTGGTTTAGCATTTGAAATTGCACTTCAAAGAAATAATACCCTAAACTTTTTAGATCTTCGTAGTAACGACTTTGATTCAATTACAAAGTATAGATTAGATGCTTTAAAAGCATTAAAATTTCGCACTAATGGAAATTTTTTAATCTATATATAATGTATGTATACGGGTATTGATTTTTTTACACGGTATTGATCTTATTGATTTCCAGCATATTATAAGGATAGGGTTGCATGACATTGATTTTAATGATTTGCATATTATATTTAGTATTAGGATAGGGTTGGTTTTATAGTTTAGGGAAACGTATATTTTATGCTAAAACTTTTTATCAAAACGTTTTATAATAAATTTGAGAATTGGCAATACCGTGCACATACTTATAATATACATATCAAATTTGCTTACAAAAATTTATACAAACAAATGTAAAAAAAAAAAAAAATTGAATTTGAGCATGTAATGTGAAATTAATACTAGGAATCTGTTAAACAATGCACCGTGCACTCAGTGCACCCCCCGTATCTCAAAATTTTATTAAGATAACCCCTGTTGTGTTACTAATAAAAAATGTTTGTTACACAATTTTAAGCCTAACCCAACCAAAACCCTAACACTAACCCAACATTAATAATAGCTTATTTGAATTATTTAACTATAACGCAAAAATTTTACTAGGGTAACCCCTGTTGTGTAACTAAAAAATATTCCTTGTACAATTTTACTAATAAAACAACCCTATTTTTAGCTCTAATTCTAACCTTAATATTAATATTACGTTTAAGTATTTATACAATAGAGGGTGCACTGAGTGCATGGGGGCACTGTTTAAATTTTTCCTAAATACTATATTGTATTAATAAAAATTAATTGATATTCGGCGAACATATCTATAACACAGCTTATATTGCATACCGGTGTAAAGTATGGGTTGGTGAGACTGAGAGAAATTGAATAGCGCAGTATCTGTTGACATGGTATGTTCGTAATTAATATATTTAAATTTTATATTAATATCACAATTTTGGATGATTGAATTCGGATATTTCAAGAGTGTCATTTGCTTTTTGATTTTGTATAAATTACAGAATTTTACTAATCATAATTAAGGTTGGAAAACTAGAGTCTCAAAGAAAGTTTCATAAATTTTAAGCCACCATTAATTTTTGATTTTTCTTTCTCTAGTTTTGTTGTACAAAAATTGATCCGAATACTGTATTTAATTATTAAACCGAATTTAAGAAAAAAATTAAAAGGCAATTTCTACAGTATTAGAACACTAGTGTATGAAACACGGGTGTATAGAAAATCAATCAGATTTCATGATAAGGGGTAATGTTGAATAATTGCTTTCGGTAAGAAATCGAAATTTCGCTCATAAAACCACCTTTTAGATATTAATAAAAAAAATTCCTTGCAAATATTGGTATACGCTATTCCCCGTGCTCACCCTTTACCCTAACTTTAGATAACATTTATTCAATTGTTTTGATTTGCATGTTGCACGTATTTGCAAATTAATACCCGTGTACCATACAATATGTGTACATTTAGAAATTTTAAAGTTAAAAGTGGGAAAATTAAAAAAAAAAAAAAAAACAGATTAAAAAGCATTAATACTACAAGTAAGTCTTCTGGCAGGTTATAACTTATAGAAAACTTTGATAAAGTAATTTCAATTATAAATTCTCAATTCGTAATTCATAAACACAAACAGAAAAATTAAATAACATAATATCAACTTCTGAATGTACGTGTAGTACTTACGTACGTACCTATTAAAAATTGGATCACACGACAATAAACTTAACTCTAAATAGTAGTACACTTGTATTTAATAATTTTTCGTACGTGCGTACGTATGTAAATCGGCTTCTTGATTTAAAATGACAAATAATCCAAAACAAACCGACAGTTCATCAGATATTAACCCATTATATTTAGAAGATAAGAATATTTTTAGTAAAATTATTAAAGAATTATATAATTTAGATAATGAAGAAAGATCAAAGGGCAAAAGTTTAGAACAAAGATTTAACATATTGGAACAATGTTTAGCAAAAAAGAACCAAAATCCAGATAATGTAATTAAATGGTGCTTAGAAAATCAAATTAATCCTATGGCTCAAATAATTCTTGGAAATTGTTATAGGCATAGTAAATGGATTGAAAAGGATGAACGTAAGGCATTCATTTATTATCAAAAATCTGCAGAGATGGGACATGCTAGTGGAATGTGTAATGTTGGATATTGTTATCAAAATGGAATTGGAGTTGAAAAAGATGAACGCAAGTCATTCCTTTATTATCAAAAATCTGCAGAGATGGGAGATGCTGGTGGAACGTATAATGTTGGATATTGTTATGATGAAGGAATTGGAATTGAAAAGGATAAACGTAAGGCATTCATTTTTTATCAAAAATCCACTGAGATGGGGGATGCTAATGGAATGAATACCGTTGGGAATTGTTATATTCATGGAATTGGAGTTTGCAAGGACGAACATAAGGGATTCATTTATCAGCAAAAATCTGTAGAGATGGGGCATGCTCATGGAATGTATAATATTGGATGTTGTTATATTTATGGAATTGGAGTTTGCAAGGATGAACATAAGGCATTCATTTATTATCAAAAATCTGCAGAGATGGGGGATGTAAATGGAACATTTGGAGTTGGATGCTGCTATTTTAATGGAATTGGAGTTGAAAAGGATGAATGTAAGGCATTTATCTATTATCAAAAATCTGCAGAGATGGGGAATGCTAATGGAATGTCCAAAGTTGCGGAATGTTATCGAAATGGAATTGGAATAACAAGAAATTTAGATAAAGCTAAATACTGGTATCAAAGGTAAACTTTAGTTTAATTTATTAGGGATGTTGTGACGCATCATAATAAAATCATAAGGTCAGATGTAATTGAGTTGGTCAGGATAAATTATAATTGAGTTATGACAGAATCATAGCTTTAACCTGACTCATGAGCAATTGCACCTAGGGTTGGATCGGTCCAAAAAAAGACTGGTCCGGACCGGTCTTTTAACTGGGACCGTGGGTTTTTTAGTCCTCAATCTTAGACCGGTCCAAACCGGTCCGGACTGATTATTAATAGCGAGAACTGAAAATACGAACTTTATAAGAATGATTAAATAATTAGCAAATAAACGACGAAATCATGGCAAATAAAGTTGGATCGTTCCTTGCAAAGACCGGTCAGGACCAAAATCTCAGCTGATCAAAATTGTTCATAGCCTATTGTGATTCATCATTCCATAGGATATTCAAATAATTGAAAGCCATCATAACTGCGACATTTAAAGACTGTTCTTAAGACCGAAAGACCAGACCGGACCAAATATCACTAATTGATCAGTCCTACTAGGACCGGAACAGACCTGTCCAGCCCTAATTGCACCTGATTTTAATATTCGATCGGTAGATAAATTAAATTATACATGTATATATTATCGTACGGCCACGTTGTTACTAACATACCAAATGTTGTTCATAATATTGTATTACCTTTTCTTTTATCAATAATACCATAAATAACTGATAACACTAATCAGACTAAAAAATTCTACATGTAAAGACTGCTTAAAGAAGACAAATGTTGGTTTTGAGCACGTTATTTATTTAATATGATAGTAACAACTACCGGACGATAATTACATTATCGTATAAATCGACACGATAGTACAGATATTTTACACAATAGTAAATATAGAAGCTAGAAATGGGTTTTACAATGATTTTTTGTTAGTGAAACGTTACATTTCCAAAAAGTATTTTAAACTATATAACTAGTGTTTAAATCAACCTTGGTGCACTAATTAAAATTTTCGGAAACATATAACGAGCAACAATCTATTGTTAAAGCCTCTAATGTTAACGCTCTATCCCTAAACTTCTATCTTTATGCATTTATTTTATTTTATTTACAAAATTCGATTTCCTTTTTTGGTTTGTGTTTCTCGCGCAAATAAGTAAAATCGTTTGGCACTTGAAAATCACCCTCCGACATTTCCAATCGGGTTAATTCGGACAAAAATAAACCCGAGTACCGGTTCGTGTTCATATAATCATCTTTTAACTTTATTGATTCAATAGTTCATCGAATAACTATTGGACCAATAAAAATAAAAGATGATCAGCATATAAAATGAACTGGCACTCGGGTTTATTTTTGTCAGAATTAACCCGATAGGAAATGTCGGAGGGTGATTTTCAAGTCAAAGACTCCATATGAGTGCCGTCAAAGGAAAACCTACAATTGGGCTTTCAATTATATTTTGTGCACAGTTGGTCATCTATCGAGAATCTATCATACAAAATATGATTGAAAGTCAGATGATAGATTGTCGATAGATGACCAACTATGCACTAAATATAATTAAAAAGCCCGATTGTAGGTTTTCTTTTGACGGCACTCACATATTATAACCGTTAACAAGTAACTAGTTAGGTAATTCATTTCACTTATATTGAGATAGGATGTTAATATAACACATTTAATTGTCAATAATCATTGGATCAACCGCTATTTTTTTTATTAAAAGGTTTGAGTCAACTTGTATCGCAGAAGACACCTCTTTACCTCAAGAATATTAATAAATTAATCATTTATCAATTCATTACATATTTCTTTAAAATTTGACAATGAGATTAAATCTGCTTTTTGTAGCGTTCACCTTTGGTATCTTGATTGGCAGCGTGACTGCTACTAATGGTGACAATAGACAACTTTTCAAAAGACAACAATCAAGTTTGTATCATCTTGAGTTATTCTAATAAATCAGTGAATGTTTTTTGACATAAATTTTTTTATTATTTATTTTTTTTTTTTGGTGTAATTTAAGCTTGCAAAATTGATGACGACTGTAAGGAAACAGAAATTTGCGCTAATGGTCAATGCGCAGATTCGGATAAACGACCTTTTAATGCTTCGTGTCTCGTTGATAATGCATGCGCAGGCGATTTTTGTAGGACTTTTGCTGATGGTCGGCGAGGATGTACTCGTACCTCAGGAGAAAAGTGTAATGCTGATGAAGAATGCCCAGGAAGTGTTTGCTCACAAAACTCAACGACATGTGTAGATGCCGATAACCGCGCTCCTGGGCAACGTTGCATTTATTTGGCAGCGTGTGCAAGTGGCCGTTGTGATTTTACTTCTGGAAAAGGAATATGTGCCCAGAACAATGGAGGACAATGCAATAATGATACCGACTGTGGGCTTTAGTTTGCGGTCACACAACTCATGTGTGTCAAGACACGGATAATCGTAAAGGGGGAGACCCTTGCGAACTTAGTAGTGCGTGCGGTTCAAATAGGTGTAATCATGATTCAGGAAAATGCACCCTGAGCAATGGGGAAAAATGCAAAGACGATAACGATTGTGTCTCTTTAGTTTACGGTCAAAAAACGCAGGTGTGTCAAGATGATGATGATCGTAAAGGGGGGGACCCTTGCGAAACTTTTATGGCATGTAAAAATCGAGCCTGTCATAAGCCTATAGGAGGCAGATGGACATGTCCTTTACGACCAAACTATGGGCAAAGATGCGGTTACGATAGCGATTGCGACTATTCTGTTTGCGGTCAAACAACTCACAAGTGTCGATATAATGATAATCGTGATGTTGGAAGCTTTTGCGAATCTCCTAACGCGTGTAAATCTGGGAATTGTGATAATATAAGAGTAAGAAGAGGAAAATGTGCGCCGCCAATTGAATTTTTGTGAATAAAATATGACTAAAATAATAAGACTTGCTGAATTTTCTAAGTTAATTAATCAATTATAATAAACTGTTTATTAAAAAATGTCATAGCGCTGTTTGTTAAACAATTATAATAGTACTGTTTATTAAAAAATTATAATAGCACTATTTATTAAAATAAATTATAATACAGTAATACTATTTGAAATTTATCTATTGCAATTTTAACAATTTTAACTTCTTAGTGATGTACTTACTTTTACAACATTGCGACGGATTTAAGAAATGCACAAAATTCGAAAATTAACTGGTTTTTAATTATCCAGAGTAATTAAGCAAATAAGTACGTAGATGCGCGACATTGTGCGCTAAACCAGGAACGAATGAATATAACGATAAGCCTGATTTTAGATACAGAATACTTTAATGCGAAGTAGCTATGTATAGTGATCGCATTCAGATACTTAAATGGATATCGGAGCCACGTTTCCTGCAATAGCCATTGGATCCATTACTTAAGTCATATCTCGAAACATATCTCAAGCTATGGCTTCAACATTCATTGTGCAGCTATAGCCATGGTTTTTAAGAGCAAGGCCAAGCCATACAAGCCGTTAATAGTTCTAATAAATAAGCAATAATTACGCTCATCAATTTCGAAAATGAGAGAAGTAAATAGCTTATCAGATATTTTAATCAATAATATATAATCGTTGTATCGTATCAAATTAATGTAATTAAGGAGAAATACAGTGGTCGCAAAAAAGATCTGGAAAAAATAATTTTCAGCAAACTTTTTCCATATTTTCTGAATGGCTAAAATATTCTAAATTTAGTTTAAAAGAATGCTATAAATCATTTTAAGTTCAAATCATTAAACATGGACCGTCATACACAAAATATTATCATTACATGGTAGACGATCAATAACAGTGTTGCAACATATATATTTGATCACTTTTTTTGAAAGCTACATATGTACATTGAATTAATTTTACATTTCACAATATTAATTATATAATGCCGTTCATATTTATCTGCTATCTTCTATGTATATATGCACTTAAACAGAGTCAATACGCATTATGCAATATTAAAGACCATTATAAATTAAATAGATTAAGCTGCTTGTATAAACCTTTTTTAGAACCACGTTTCTGGCATTAGTGCTTCTAAGTAGCTAGTAATAGCAATCACTAGAGCGTTTGTTCTTTCGACTGTTTTGAGATTATTTTGAGATTATTTTGCAATAGTGAATGTAGATGTTCCTACAAAATGAAGAATCAAAATTTTTATTTTTAGTTGTGTTGAAGGAAATGAATAACAAAGAATTTGAAGCCATGTTGTAAAATAGTAACTGGATTCATCAACTTGTGACTCGAATAATTCGAATTTATCATTTTTTGAATCATGAAAATTTAATTCACGAGTTACTCGCGAGTTATTTATTAATGTACTGTATAATTACGTGCCATGATGTCAAAATAATTAAATTTCACGTATCACACTGGGAATCAGAAATTTAAAATAAATGCGAATCCGTGATGTTAAAAATAATTTTTAGCCAATCATATATTTGCATTTACCCAGTGTGATACGTGGAACTTGCTAATCACAACAATTTGTATAATTTGTATGTAATTTTAACGTAACTATGTATGATTCATTGAAATTTAAACAAACTATATAATTGCATATTTAATAAAAATTAAAAAAGCCCAATAACTTAAGATATTTCGATCTATACAAATATGGCGCAAAACAAAAGCAATAATGAGCAGGAGGAATCCTATGCTGGAGAAATTAGTCAACGTACTATTACAGCAAAAGCACAAACCTCGATTCAAAATTGGTGGGTGAAAAGAAATATGGATTTGCTGAATACATTATTTTCAGTTGACAAATCATTAATATACAATTTTCTTTCATAACTTGTAATCTGTGATAATTGCTTTTATAACATAAAATTTGAATTATATTTACTTTGCGTAACTCGTTATTTGAAGTATATTTGCAAAACTTTTAATAAATTAATTAATTAAATAAATTGTTGTGACTCGAATTTAATCGAATAAAACTCGAATAAATATTTTGATTGAATGTTTCGAATATTCTTTAGTGTTTAATTCACAAAACAGGACTAAATAAAGTTTTTTTTTTAAAATTATTTATAATAAAAAAAGTTTTTTAAAATTTGCATTTAAATTTAAATTTGATTTGTGCTACATTTAATCGATATTGATTTTGAAAATTACGTATTTAAATTTTTTAATTAACGGAGATTTAATAGTGACGTCTAGCGTGTCTAACGTTTTAACGTTTTAACCGTGATGTAGATTATATCTTCTTTTGAAAATTAAAAGAAACAATTGTTTGATCTACGCTTATTGTTATGATTGTAATAATGATTAAGAATAGTTATCTAAAGGTCCAAAAAATTTTTTTCCGTAATGGTATTACTGATTGATGTGTAGCATAACAATTAAAGAGCCAAGCGATATTTATGAAAATGTACGACCCTTTTTATGCATAGATCGTTTGAATGCAGCAACTTTGGTTTCAGATACGCACGTACGTACGTACGTACACGAATGCTCGTAAAATATTACATGATTGTATGATCTATTGTAGAAATTATATAAAACTAGAGGATGCAGATGTGGGCGGCTTCGCCGCCCGGTTGGGGTTGTTACTAATAGATTTTGATATACTTAAAATTTGGTTAAAGAAAAGTTTTGGTTTTGAATATTTATTAAGTACATGTTTTATTAATAAAATAGAGTATTATTGATATAATAGTAATATTTATTTATATTAAATTAAGGAGTTAATTATTGAAATTTTTATATAAGGTTATTGATTTTTTAGATTGGATTCGATTGTGACTGTGGAACAAAAATACGATCGATTTCAAATGGCTTTTAGCATCTAATAGAGATAATGAAGTTTTTTTTT